TCTGAAGAAGGGTCTAGGCCCGAAACATCAGCCTTCCTGCTCCTCTGATGCTGCTTGGCCTGCTGTGTTCATCCAGCTCTACATCTTGTTATCTCAGATTCTCCAGCATCTGCAGTTCCTACTATCTCCAAAAGAAAAAACTTAACAGGTTTTCTGCACTTAACATGGAAAAACTGAATATTACGATCAAGTTGCCTTTAATTAATGGAAATTAGGAAATGTGGATGGCTGACATAACTTTATACATAAACTTTCCTTTTTTTTAAACTTCCCCCTTCACACATACAGACACAAGGACAGACAAGACACTGATATTGAGGGTGGGAAATCGAAAAATCGTCAAGGAAACACAGTTTGATGGCACTACTCTGGAACATAGCATGCAATAATTTGTTTCTTTTAGTTCTTTGCTGTTAGCATAAAGTTGTTTGCATACTGATGCTCTCTTTCATTTACTGGTTGAAAGTTAATCCTTTCATTGCATTTAAGCATGTTTTATTCTTCCTTCAATAGGTGACTGCAGAAAAAGGTGAGTGGGAGTGGAAGGCAGCTAGCTGTTCCTGGTATCTCCACACAGGAGAGACAGAGATTTTGTTTATGCTTTCTCTTTGTAGATTAGATGGTTCTCTGCTGCTCTGGTTCCACACAAGCCATAGTCACTTGGTAAGAAGCTAATCAAGATGTTGTCAAGAAATTATTCCCTTCAGATCAAATCCCTTTTACTCCAGGGTACCTACTCTCCATCTCACTGTTCCAGAGAAAAGTAGCATTGTATGTGACTCATAGTAAGCTCCATAAACATGGTTTTTAAAACTGCAGCCACCTTTTTACACAGTCTTCTTTGTTTAAACCAGGATCTTCTGTTTTTATTTAGTCCACAGAATAAAATCAAAGGAAATAAAAAGGTGTACTCTTCACAAATGGAGAATGGAAAAGTATAGAAAAGTTTGCATTGCAAAAGGTGAAAAAATTCTCAGTTTCTACTCCTAACGCCAAGAAATGATGGTGCAAGGCAAAAAAAGGTGGTATTAGAACAAATAAACAAAGATGTGTTCAATAGATGTGTGAATGCGAAAAGAAACATGATTAACAATAGTTATCATCCCAAATGGGGCAAAGATTACAATTGAAATTGATTGAATTCCACTTTATATCGTGCCTAATTGATACAATTTCTCAAGCATATATTGAGCTTCATTAGAACTATGTGGATACTGAGGATGAGATGAGACAAAAGGGGATAAAAAAGTTAAGAAGAAATCAGTTATGTGGAACAAACCAGCTGAACCGATGAGTCTACTACAGTAGCCCTGTTTGCAGATCTTGGGAAGGAAGAAGAAGTGGGTTGTTTGAGTTTATGGGACAATGAGATCGAAATCTGTAGAGGAAAGATTTCCAGAGGAGATGAGGTCAGTTGCAGTCTTAGCAATTCTATAACTTACTGGCTGGTGTTGGGGTCACAGTCCAAGAGAGATAAGACGACATGCCAGTTAGTATTCCATTCCAATTGCTAAAGGTTGCTTTACCAAATAAATGGTCAAAATTTGTGCACAGTGTTTAAGATGTAGAACTTAAAACACAATAAATGGTGTCCCTTAGTAAAACTCACCCAACACCATATACATTTGTACTGGCCATGGCAGATGCAATTATACCAGCTATACCTCCAAGTATTCCAGGCATGCCATGAAGATTGTGTACACCACAGGTATCATGTATCTTCAGTTTAGATGCAAAAATTGGCTGGAGAAAGAAAAAAATCTTAGCAAAATAATTGGTGCTGTTTTTTCAGTGAGAATGGTAAACATTTTTTGTTTATGTGACAAATGAATTTCTAACCTTATTTTGTGAATTAATATCACTATAAACAATCTCAGTTCTTCGCTAGCCAATCATTCACTCGTTATAGAACCTGGAAGGTTCAGATCAAATGAAGAGAAAGCAGAAATTAAAAAAAATCTTTAAAGCTGTTGGAAGTATGTGTCAGAAAAGAAGGGTCTAGGCCTGAAACGTCAGCCTTTCTGCTCCTATGATGCTGCTTGGCCTGCTGTGTTCATCCAGCTCTACACCTTGTTATCTCAGATTCTCCAGCATCTGCAGTTCCTACTATCTCCTGGGTTCTAGTTCCACCTGCTCCAGAGGTGTACCATAACATGACTGAACAGGTTATGAAATAAATAAAAGAACTCCCTGTCATTAGTTAAAATGCATCATCAGGAAATCTTACTTATTGAAAAAAAGCTGGACTCTTGATTTACTGGTGGCGGTTAACAGGGAAAAAAATATCACAGTGATTTAGTCATGGGAGAAAATAAAACTATCTCAGTAAAAATATGATAACAGCTTTTGGTATTAAAAAAAAAAGGCTAGATTCGCCCGTGTCCCTCACCTCTGGTGGCTTCCATTATCTTTAACAGGCTTTGCATGTAAATTATTCAAGTGAAAAAACAAATGATTTACTGGCGGTGATTAATAGATGAAAAAAATACCATAGTTGATTTGGTGAGGGGGAAAGAGCACATCTGGATATAAAAAAAAGTAACATGGGTGATTTGGTAGTGGGAGAAAACTGTTCAGTAGGGGAATCATTTCTCCTCAACTCCATTTTGATTTAGTATCCTCCCTCACTTTCCACCTTTCCCTCACTTCTGTTGTTTTTGCACTGTGCCTGATGGCTTTGTATGTAAATTAGTCATTTGTTGGTGGTAAAGTGTTCAGAGATGTGTAAAAGCATCTTTGTTTAAGGAAGGGTGCTGGATCCCCTGAAGAGGTGATTTGTTAACTTATTTATTAAAAAGGCAGTGGTATTCTTCAAATTTAGTTTAGTGCCTTCCCTCTCTCCTACTTCCCTTCTTGTTGTTGCACTGAGTTAAAAAAGAGCTGGATTGTTGGGAGTCTTGTAGCATATTACCCTGGAATCATGAAACTGCTGATGAACCAACTTCCTCTCCTCATCCACATTTTAGTTGTTTTTTCATATAATGTTGTCTTTACTCCTTTAAATCTGCTGTAATTGCCTCTCTCCTTAGAAAAAAAACCATTAGCCCCACTGCCCATACAAATTGCCTGCTATCTTCAACTTCCCTTTCCTCTCCAGAGATCTTGAATGTGCTGAC